CGCGGAAATGTATTGTCAACACTGTTCTGTGATTTCTCAATAAAATAGCTTAGAAACTGAAAAGTTCAAGCATATATTTCTTAATGACTAAATTCCACAGCTTCACTACTAGTAGAGAGACGCTGCCAGGTAGAATTAATTCACACACGCAATCACTCTCACTAATGCATTCATATTAATGTAATCTTTACTGTGCTGCTTTATCTGTATCTGATTTAGAACGAGCAGAAATCTGTGAGAAATATAACGACCCAAAGACAAAAGAACTGATAAAAATTAGCTGTTATAGGAGCAATAGCCATGTGGGCAGCGCTGTCATATGCCATAGCTGTGCACAAGGTGTTTGTCACAGCTCCAGACTTATTTGTTCATTAATGACGTCATCAGCGACTAGTCGACTTCGACTCGACTTTCAGTCGACTTTAAAAAATCAGAAGTCGTTCAACCCCTAATATATACACACATACACACATTGTTTTGATTCATTTTTATTTCTTATTTTATATATATAAAATATATGAATCAGTTCAAAACACTGATTTAATGATTCATTCTTTAAATCTGTGTTTTGAAGCATTGTTGATATCTCTTTTCTCTCTCACTCTCTCTCTCTCTCTCTCTCTCTCTCTTCATATTTTTATCAAAAGTATGTTTTGATTGAAATCTTAATTGTCGATGCACATTCTTCATCTTTATTGTTGACTAAATAAAAACATTCTTTATTGACCATTTTCATTAGTAATTTAACTGACAAGATTAACCCTAACTAGCTTTTGGCTACTGAATAATTGCTATTAAAACGCTATTTTATTGCTCTAGTGATTGCAAGTCTTTAGGAAACTAAATAGGCAAATAAACACAATGAAATTATTGATATTCACAGTTTGCCAATTCATTGTAAATATATCATGAATATTTCATATATCCAGCCCAGCTCTCTCCCAGTCAGAGCTGGTTGGGTGCACTTTGTGTTATTTGACAGACATGCGTAAAAGGCTTGCCGTGCCCTCGCTGACCGGGCCTCCCGAGAGCCTTGACCAATATGGGGCCCATTGTAAATAGGGTTAAACAGGGCTAACGATCAAAGAAAGGCATACCAGTGGAAAAGCCTGGCTAAATATAGATTTGGAGTCTGGAGTAAAAAAAATGGGCAGTGAAACTTGTCTTCCTGCCAGCGACCTGAACAGCAGTGAGGCCAGCCTCCCCTGTGGCTACCAGGCTTATATTTTAAATGTGCTATAACGCATGGCTAGTTTGATATGCTGGCTTTTTTTTCCACAGTCCCTCAATATGCTCACCCATATGCTTCATTTTCACAGCCTAGATAGACTTGAAGTGGGTTATTGGGGGTTTTTATGTCTGAGGCTTTATGATTTTTTTTTCCTGAACACTAGCCATGACACGCAGACGTCCACATTTTGCTACGCACCGAGGGTGGTTTTTTTAATCATTCTTCGAGATGGTGTAAAGGCCACAACAGGAAATGCTTACATTTCACCTTGTTATCTCCCACTGTTAGTCAGATCAGAGTGACAAACCCTGCGTCCAAAACCTCGATTCGAAGCCAAGTCTGATTTTGCTCTGCTTACGTTAT